CACCTGATCTTGTCTCCTACAGTCACGAGAACTGATACGTTCATTCGACAGTGATAAACTAAGGCACTGAAACTAAATGTACATAAAGTCAGAGACAGAAGAAATAAAGAAATAAAAGCAGATTTCCAGGGTTGCATATGACCAAAATACAAGCATAAAAGTGACACGCTAGAGCATAAGGCTAAAAATGAGAAAGTCATACCAGCATCAAATGGTTTTGAAAATTTAGAGGATGTGCGAAAAAACGAAAATCACTTTTGAATGTACAAATATATCCTTGTGCCCACAGACAACAAACTGAAGCAATTCTATTATAACTGAGCATACATTCAGTATTTGGATTTTATTCAATATTTTTTATTTTATTTTATTCAACATTTTGCTGTGGTATAACGTCAATTTTTGAAAGGTTTTAGGGGGTTAGAGGTGGAACTTCCACAGTACAACTGAGGCTAGTATGGTCTTATGATTCTCCAGATTTAATACATGAATCACATCCGGTCATTACATTCTCATCATGCACAAGGGCAGCAAGAAAAATTCATTGGAGAAGATGCATTTTAGACCCTTATTCTGAGTGGTTTTGTTCTACATTGCACATTTACGCACTTTTGTTTGCCTACATAAATATTGTTTATTTGAATACTTTGTGAACTTCAAAGCAATGAAAGTGAAGCATAAAAAAAAGTATCTCACCATTACAAATGTACAAATGTTAAACATTCAACTGGAGTCTCTGACAGTCAGGTTTCTTTTCATCTCGACTTTAAATGATGTAAATATTAAAGTCTGCACCTTGTTTGAAACCCTAAAAATGCTTTGTTTTAATGACTGAGATCGAACAGAGTTCATTTATTTCTTCCTCAATACAGTCTCAATCGTGTAATTCTGGCTGTTCTGAGCACACAGTTATGTGCTTCCAAAATCTTCATGCACACATTCACAAGTTCAGATTCATGCCAGAAATTCAAAGCTTCTTCATGAGGGTGTGGAGGAGGCATGGACACATTCACGGTTAAAGAGACAAGACGGTCACTGTTTGAAATGTTCAAGAGTTCAAATATTAAAAAATTCACAATCCAGTCAACTGAATCAATAACCCTTCATCAGTTCAGTAGGTGACGCTTGGACTGCGAGATAGAGAAGTTCATCTGTGTCCTGAAGGCAAAAACAAATGGCGGAGAAATTGATCAAAGGGAAGCCAGCATTTATGTTTAGTCCTCATCCTCTCGGAGTTCGCTTGGCAGAAACTTGTACTGCTGTTGTCTGATCTGTGCCAGCTTCTTACGGGCCTCTTCCAGTTCCCTCTCCTTCCTCAACATCTCCTCCTGAGCAGCAATAATCTGGGCCAAACAGACAAAGCACAACACAAATGAAATATTAACTGAATAAAGCCAATATGGGAGAGTATAATCTTAAAATACAAATTATTATCATATAAACAATAAAAACAATAATAATTATTAGTAAATAATTGAACGGGCAATCAGAAAAAACGATGAAGATAGGTTTTGTATTACAATGCACATTTATTGTTTATAGTTATTATTATTCATATTTGAAAAATATGAGCAGCAAAACATTTGATTATTTATTTATCCATCTATTTATTTGTTAATAATAATGATAACAACAAAAACAACAACAACATTATTTTGGACACAGTCTGTGTTTTTTTTTTGTATTGCATTGCATTCTTATGCACAATTCACCGTCTACATATTTATTCATTTTTAATTCAAATAAAATATGATCAAATAATTATTGAATTAACCATAGATAGAATTCAGCCTGTAAATCCTACCTGAGCGATTCCTCCAACAAACCTGGTCTTGACCACCACATTATCATCATCCGCCTTGTTGAAAGCAGCTTTCTGGGCCGCTCGAACCAGACTGTCAGAGGCCCGTTTCACAGCATTGCCTGCAGCCTGCAGATGACACATAAGAAGTTCAAGAAATATGCCTATGAAATACATGTTCAATGAATACAGCAATTTAAGTAATGTAACATTGCAGTTACTATTTAAAATATCAGAATCTAGTCTTTTTCTTTATGTAACCGTGTATTACCTGTAGCCTCCTCATAGCCTCTGAATCCTGCTCAGCTTTAACCTTGCACGCCACCAGCAGCTGTGCAGTGGAAGCAGCCACTTGTTTAGCAGAAGAGATGAGCTTTTCTTCACTGGCATGACCTTGGACTGACGCGTTCGCTGCCTCACAGAGGTTACTGGTTGCTGCGGCAACCATGCGTGCCTGTAACAGTGAGCAAACAGAGAAGTTACACAGGAATATAACATGATGACATTTTATTGCCACTTTTTAATGCTTGAGGACTTACAGCAGATATTAGCCCTTGGGACCACTGTCCATCATCCACAGCATTGGCAGGGATGGCTCCCACCTTCAGGAAGGAAAAAGATGGCTATTATGATTCTATAAAAACTGAGTACATTAAAAAAATTAAAGAAACAGTTGCAATTAATAATCATTTTACGGACTGATTAATAAACATTTTTATGGCTTACGCTAAGTTTTCTTACCTTGCCCTGGGCTACGAGTTCTCTCTGAGCTGCTGAAGCTGATTTTACAAGAGCGCTGGTTGCTGCAGCAATAGATTTGGCTGCCTCAAGTATCTGCTCTTCAAAGTCTAAACTCTCATCAGCTTGCTGAAAAAAAAAATATTGAAAAATACAGCTGACATTTTGTAATTAAGATTTTAAAGTTTTTTTTTTTGTTCTTGTTTTTGAAATAAGTCTCATATTCTCACTCAAAAAAATACAGAAAAAAAGTAATATTTTGAACTGCTTTCTATTGTAATAAATTACATTTAAATGAAAATTCTGAATGAATTCTGAAGGATCAAGTAACACTGAAGACTGAAGTAATGGCTGCTGAAAATTCAGCTTTTCCATCACGGGAATACATTGTATGTTAAAATGCAGCTTTGGTAAGCAAAAGAGACGACTTTCAAAAACATCACAAAAATCGTAATTATTCTAAACCTTTGATCACAAGTGTTCATAGATTACATTACATATAAATGCAAAATTCACAGAGCACTGCACAGTGCCCTTACAATACGTCAATTTAGCGTAGTCTTTAAAGAGTGTATTAAGCCATGCACACTACCTTTGGTTTGGCTCTTGGTTTGAGCTGCTCAAGTTTCTTGGCTGCTGCTTCAATTGAGGCTGCAGCTCCCAATAACTCCGTTTCAGCGATCACAGTAGGATCCTCAGGGTCAACCCATTCAGTGCCTACACACACAATACACACACTTAACTAATGTTTGGCAAGGCCTGGAATCATCACAGGCATGCTGTAATAACTGAACGTGTGTCAGGTGAATAGGAAATGGATAGCGTTTTTGAAAACAAATCAAGCCTGAGAGAAATTAATTTTGTCACAGAGCTGAACACAAACGAAACACCGCAAAACAAATAAACAAGACACAAATGTGGTTAAATGAGAAAATGTTCTAAATGAAGATTGAAAATACGGAATTATTTTGTACTGGCATCTTGTGGTACTCACCCTCATCTTGAGCGAGACAGGAAAGACAGGAAACTTTACTCAGCACAGTATATCTCCAAACTACACGGAGTGAGCATGTTTTTGTCTTAATGAAGGTGTGAAATATCTCTCACCTTTCATGGCCTCCGCTGTTTGAATCAGTTCAGTGACAGCTGCAGCAACCTTTTTAGAGAACATCACCAATTTTTGTTTCTGATCACCTGTTGGCTTTTGTAAGGCCTGAAATACATATATGCACATAAAGAGTTCTGGTTAAGACCAATCCTGAACAAAGGGACCATCAAAGCACTGTGCAGATGCATTATGTGTGTAAATGACTGTGTTTGTACCTGTAGGACATGTTCTAGGAGCTCTATATATCCATTGGTACATTCAGTGCCGTATAACAGAGCTCTGTTTCTGACCTCCTGATTTACTTCCTCATGATATGCTGCTTGCTGAGGGGGAAATTATTAAAGCCCATTATTAAAGTCCACACCAAAAACACCTTCGCTAATCCATAACTGATAATGCACAGATGGACACAAGCAGAAAACAAGTATATGCACACACACCTTGCATGTGGTCAGCATATCAGCTATGACCTTGCGGCTGAGGTTCGCTGTGGAGATGACATCTTCCTGTCTGGCAGAATTTCCTGCTGCGACTGCTTTGGCGGTTGCCGTAGTGATGCCCTTGGTCATGCGAATGAACTCCTCTGGAGTGGTTGATTTCTCAGGGGCTTCTTTAGATTGAAACAACTGATGACGACACAATTGTTAATTGAATAGTTTTGTCACCACGCTTGTCTATATTTGAGCAAGATTTGTACAAGACACAGGTCAAAATTTAGGTCAATTTAAAGACCTGATGATTAACACACACACACACACACACACACACACACAAAAAAAAAGTACCTACACTGTTTTCTTGTGTGTTCAACTTACTGTTACATATATATACACACATACATATATATATATATATATAAAATTATAAAAATAAAAGCCAAAATATCAATAAATACTATAACAGTACATAAATAATCCTAAAATAACACTGGTCTAAGGTTAAACTGGTAAAATCCCCATTTATTTTCCAAAAAATTAATGACTCCAAACTCATGTAGAACTATGCCATTAATAGAGCATGTAGTTCATTTTATCGCAAAATATTTGGGACTAAGTGTGCAATGGGAATTATAGTAGCTGATGGAGAAGAAAACATTAATTTTCTCATTAATAATTAAGTTACCATAACCTGAACACACAGACGTAAGGCATACATTTACATTTTCACATCTGAAAACATCACTCCCTCTGTGAACATTAATTTAACTTTTATAGAAGAACATCTGATGGCAAAATTCACTATTGCAAACATATCTGCCTTTGGCAACTTTGGCAACAACTTTCTCCTATCTTTTCAATTTATAAAGACATATTGGTTTCGTTGACTGAAATAAATAAATTATATATATAAAAAATTAATGACTCCAAACTCATGTAGAACTATGCCATTAATAGAGCATGTAGTTCATTTTATCGCAAAATATTTGGGACTAAGTGTGCAATGGGAATTATAGTAGCTGATGGAGAAGAAAACATTAATTTTCTCATTAATAATTAATCTGATTAATGGCACACACTGGAATGAGCTTCTCACCAGAACACTTTTACTCATATCTGAGTTAGGAGACATTTCCATCCGTGCAGCCAGATTTCTGAAGGACAACTGGGAGATTACAGTTTCAAAGACAAATATATAACAGCTATTTGCCTAGATGAAGTGTTTCTTATCAAGTTCTGTGCTCTTGAGGTATGATGGAAAAGGGAGAATAATATTTATGCAGAAGTGTTTTTGACTGTCGTACCTTGGCCGCATTCTTAAGCTGGAATATGGAGGGGTCATCTGCTGCTTTTCCCGCTGCACACTTGGTGGCACTAATGAGATCAGCTAAAGCTTTAGCAACATCCTTCACTGCGTTGATCAGCACCACCTACGAGGAGATGAATGACAATAACACATGCACATTCCGGAAAGATGACTTCAAACCCTGGCTGCTGGTAAAACCCTGTGTTTGACTTCTCCTCTGTCCTCATCACTTTCTCCATGTCTCTCACCTGTGTTTCTGGGTCATCCGCGCCTATGCTGGCCGCTCCCAATTTCACCACATCTGTAAGGTGGATGATGGTTTTGGCAGAAGACTGGGCGGCCTGGGCCAGTTTCTCTTGACTTGATGCTGCACCTGAAACAAGGTTCTTAGTGTCCTCCACCAATGCTTTGGCTGTCTTCAGAATATTCTCTCTAAAAACAAAGAGAGAGAGAGAATACATAAATGATACAAGTTTGATTATAATGCTTATGTACATATGAATGATTTCATATGGTGCATATACGTATAGGTATATGGTGCATATACTGTAGGTGCATAGGTATTTGTTAGCATTATTCTTTAATACATAATTCTGGCTGGTCCATTGTGGCAAACCAATCTCCTGTGTTGTCCCATGTTTCTAGTATTACTACCCAGTCTCTTTCTTCTCACATAATACAGCAAATTATAAAATATACAAATAAATTAAATCAATAAATAAATTCAAAGTAAATAAAATAAAATTGAATGTATTAACAAAGTCAATATATAAAATAGGAAATATATAAAATTGATTTCTGCCTATATATATACAGGTGCATCTCAATAAATTAGAATGTCGTGGAAAAGTTCATTTATTTCAGTAATTCAACTCAAATTGTGAAACTCGTGTATTAAATAAATTCAATGCACACAGACTGAAGTAGTTTAAGTCTTTGGTTCTTTTAATTGTGATGATTTTGGCTCACATTTAACAAAAACCCACCAATTCACTATCTCAACAAATTAGAATATGGTGACATGCCAATCAGCTAATCAACTCAAAACACCTGCAAAGGTTTCCTGAGCCTTCACAATGGTCTCTCAGTTTGGTTCACTAGGCTACACAATCATGGGGAAGACTGCTGATCTGACAGTTGTCCAGAAGACAATCATTGACACCCTTCACAAGGAGGGTAAGCCACAAACATTCATTGCCAAAGAAGCTGGCTGTTCACAGAGTGCTGTATCCAAGCACGTTAACAGAAAGTTGAGTGGAAGGAAAAAATGTGGAAGAAAAAGATGCACAACCAACAGAGAGAACCGCAGCCTTATGAGGATTGCCAAGCAAAATCGATTCAAGAATTTGAATGAACTTCA